CCACCCAATGCAGACGAGAGCGCCGAATCAGAAACGCTCCAGCCCCCTCCCCATCTTCGGACAGACGAGGTGTACTTCAGAAGACCTGGAGACAACGGGCACTCGACACAGCGGAGGGCCCAATGGGAATCCGATCGCCCCCTCCCCCCGATAAGGTGCGGTAACGCACCCCTACCTCCTAAGACGATCCGAAGCCCTCTCGGATGTCTCTCTGAGAAGCCCCTGTGGCCTCGTTCGCATTTGCTCGAGGCGGCCTTCGAAGGCCGCGGGCGGCGGCCAAACGCAACGGGCCAACGGGGCACATTCAACGTGAGAGGACCCCACAACGCCCAAAAACAGCAGGTGATGATCTGATGCGCTGGCCTCTTCGTACCACCCCCCCCCCCCCCCCCCCCCCCCCCCCCCCCCCCCCCCCCCCCCCCCCCCCCCCCCCCCCCCCCCCACCCCCCCTCCCCCCCACCCCCCCCCCCCACACCACCCCACCGACACCTGCCCTCGAGAAGTCTCCACCAGGCCCCCGAATCATACGAAGGCTTGATCCTGCCCCCTGGAAGACCCTGGTTGCGGTGCCCCGAAGATTTCCTAAGGCCATCTCGCCACGCGACCCCTACCCCCTGAACGCGCGCGAAGGCCAAGGGAAGTCCTCGAGGGCCGAAGCCTTCAAGGACGCCACCGCGGCCCTCGGCGGACGCCGACGACATCCTGATTGCAAGAAGCCTCCAAGGGGGCGCGCGGGTGCCTTGGCGACCTTCTTGCCCGACAGGCCGCGAAGGCTGGCGAACGCAGCCTTGATGTGCCGCTCGATCAGCCGCAGATCCTTGCCGTCGCCCTCGTGGATGCAGGTCTCGGCCTCGTGGCAAACCCTGCGGTCAGACGCAGCGGGGTCCAGGCGTGGCACGGTGGACTTCGTGAGGGTCCTGTGCATGCCTTCCCACCTCGAGGCCAGCTGCGGTATCGACTCGCCGCCGCCGCGGCCCAAGTTCTGGCAAGCGTCCGCAACCACGCTGGGCGCGCGCCTGCGATGCCTGAGGACCGCCCCCGTGTCGACCTGGACCTCGACGTCGCCGACGGGGGCTGCGGCTCGATCCACGACCGCCAGCATGCTGCCGCCCTGCGCCTGCGCCTGCCTGGACGCGCGGGCGGCGTCGCGCACCGCGCCCGCCACGCGGGCCTCATGCGCGCCATCCCTGCGACGTCGGCGGGCAGCCGCCTCCCGAGCAGCCACAGCAGCGTCCAGGATCAGCGAGCGCGCGTCGGTGAATGAGGACCTCTGCGGCGCACCGCCGCCTGCTGCTGGACGCTGCGGAGGAAGGCGGGTCGGCTCCAAGCCGAGAGCTGCCACGCCGTCCGATGCCGATTGCGCTGTTGGTGCTCTTCGACGCCTGTCGAAGCCACGCTCCCCAGACAGATAGCGATCCCTCGCGATGGCAGCCAACAGCCTGTATTGCTCAAGCTCGGCCCCCTCCAGCTGAGAATACATCTCGGACAACTCTGCAGAAGACCCATCAGATATGTACACGCCGTTCACGTGCACGAATGCGCGCCACATCCACTGCTGCAGGCTGTTGTGCCCGCGCCGCGGATTACGCGCTTCGCGCATCCGTCTCTGGGCGGGGCCTCTCCGAAGGTCTGTCGGGGAAGGTGCTGAATCGGCGTCGAAATCACCAGCCGAATGCGCCGTGAAATGGGCGCTCACCTCCTCTAGGGTTTCGGCCTGCGTCCAAACCCTGAAGCGCGCGCCCCTCTGGTTCACCGAATGCACCCGCTCGACGTCGGCGGTGTCCATGTCAGCCATGGCCAAGGCGCCCTTCAGCTCATTCGCCGCCTCTGACGAATCTAGGCGCCCTGCGTAGAACCTCGCGAAATCCAGCGTGTAGCGGTCCAGACAGCACGGCTTGGTGCCGCGAAGGTCCTGCAAACGAGAAGGGTCTTTCAAAGAATACAGCAGGGGCATCGGCCAAGTCCGATTGGTCCTGTGGACCAGCTGGTATGCAACCGCGCCCATCCTGGACAACATGCGGTACAGCTTCAGCGCCGTCGCCTCCGTTCGCACCTGCAATGGCGACCACGATCGGGCGTCGAAGATGGACGCGTAAGCGCCCGTGAGCAGCTCAAGGGTGTCGGCATCCTCATGCGCCAACCACGCTTGGTACGTCCTCGGCTCTCCGAGGGAGACCTTGTGCTGCTGCGCCTTCTCGAAACCCGAACCGCTGGTGGCCAGCTGATTCGTCACGTACTGGTCCGTGCGACGAGCCAGCACCGATGCGATGAACAGGTCGTCCGCCACCGTGCCGCTGAGCACCCAGGCGCGGCTGCCGTCAACTCGCTGGTCCTGCTGCTCCTTGAACGCGTTCACGTCATCCACGCCAGCTGCGCCCTCGGGGGCTGGGCCGTCGGCCGAGGGCTCTGGCCGATCAAGGTCGGCACCGTCGCCCCCAGCAAGAAGCCCAGCGGCGCCCACTGGGGGCGGCGCACCAGCGCCCGCGCCAGCAGCGGCACCTGGCGCACGGGCTGGCTTCGCAGGCATCGTGCGCAAGTAAGCTGCCTGAAAGAGGCCATGAACAGATGCGGGAAGCCCGATGGATCGGTGACTTCGCATCTTGTTAGCCCAATTGGCCCTGTTGAGAACGTCAATCTTTCCGAACAGCGAAGCAACCCCAAACCTCCTCATCAAATACAGCGTGTGTCTAGGAGACGAGCAGCACCCTCTACAATAGTGCTCAATGACGCCATGCTTACGTATGTCTCCGTTGTACAAGCGCGTGACCACCTCCCTGCGGTACGCCAGGGTCGGGTCAGCTGGGCCCGCGAAGTAGAGGTCCCATATGGCGTCGCGGTGCGCAGTGGCATCTGCTGGAGGCGCACCCCTCTTGACCACGAGCTGCTCTCCATGGAGCAACCTGGCTTGGTGCCGCAACTCGAGGACGTGGTCGCCCGTGAGGGACATCTGGCAGCGAACAAGGTTCGTGTCGAAAGGCCTGATCGTGATGAGCCACTGTTCGGCGACCTTCTTCTTCTTGTGAGCGCGGCACAGCAAGATCAGCTGAGACCTCCGAGGGAACGCCTGCTCGAACGCACGTTCGTTTCGCAGGTTCCCTGATGCCGCGTCGCAGCATACGATGTCCACCTGCCTGGGTACCCGTAGGTCAAGCACGCCATCACAACGCAAACCCAGCTGCCTGCGCAAAGCCGCGTGCACGACCTCAGCGGAAGAACCGTCGAGAACGGAAAGGTGCGTCGGCACGGTGCCGCACATGTGCAGGAAGCTCGATGCACCAGCGGCCCTCCGTCGCATCAAGAAGCCGAACTCGCCCTTCACGACGAAGATCTCGCGACTGCCCGTCGTGCGCTCGTTGATGACATCGTCATCGTAAACCTGCGACACGGTGGTCGTGAGCTTCATCCTCGTGCCGTCGTACTTCCGCTTTCGGAAGAACACCGCGGGGTCGATGACAGCACCGTGCTGCTCACGAGAACCCACGCATGCCTCCACAAGGCGGCCAATGGTGGACAACACGTGCTCCTGAGAAGCGGCAAACGCCGAGTACGCAGCTGCGTGGACGCGCTCCCTGAAATGCCCAGGCGCGATCCCGAGTCGGCCTGCCATCGCGGTCGCCGACGTCAGCGAGACGACGCTGTCATCAGGGTACCGCTTCTCCACCAGCACCCGCGCCAGGCTGGCCAGCGGCCCTGCAGGAGGGCCAGGCGGGCCGCCACCGCCTGCTGCCGCCTCCAGGCGGGCCCTGGGCGCGCGCAGGCGCGGGCTGGTGCAACATCAGCTGCTGGTCGCCGACCAGCTCGGGGCTCGGCGCCCGACGAAGGCTGTCGGCGCCCCAGCCCCACTCCTCCTCCCCCGACTCGACGGGAAGCTCCGCGCCCTCCGCGCCGCCATCCAGCCGAGCATCTGGAGTCGGAATGGAGGGCACGCCCTATTCCTCCTCGCTCAAGAAGGCCTCCGAAGGCGAACTCATCGTGAGCAAAAGCAAGGCCGAAATAAATGTGAGCCAAAATGGTTACGGAACGTAGGACGCTTGCTACCCTCTCTGGCGGGGGGGGGGATCCATGGCGGGGGTCCTTGTTACCCCCTCTGGGGGGGGGCCCTCGTTGCCCCCTCTGATCGGGGGGGGTATGTTCAAGGGGGCGTTGCGTTAAGGGACGAGGCCCATGCGGTTGCCACCAAACGGGGGGGATATACTTAGGGGGTCTGTTTTACTCATTTGACGACCCTCGAAGCACTCGAGACATCCTCCAAGCTTCGCGCATTCCGCCGACCCCCACTAGGGCCGTAAGAAGAGCATGAACACGAATTGCCCCTGGCATTGTGCGCCGCGCCCCGTTACACACAGCCTGGCACGCACGACGCGACAAAAACGCAGATTCGACTGCGAGGTGATATAGTCACCGATTACACAAACCCTCTGTGGCTGCAGCCCTACAAAAACAAAAATGGCATCACCATTTTCCTGGAGGCCCAACGAGGACCATCAGACCCCTTACTCCGAAATGCTGCCCCGACGCGGGCCTCATCATACCTCCAACTCCGAAACGACGCCGTTGAAGGCATCAAAACCCATCTAACGCAATAAGACGACATAGACTCGCCAGGGAAGTCTCAACCATGGGATTCTTTCTGGAGCGCAGCGGCCGTCGCAGAGCCTGGCCCCAGGTAGTACACGGCGCACCGAGCCAGATGCCGGCAATGCAGCTGGAGGTTATCCAGCCCTGGAGAACATCAAAAAACTCATGCACGAAGTGATTCTCATGGGCTCCACGGCTGAGATCAAAACCAACCGCCGCGAAGCCATCGGCCTTCAGCGCTGCTCCCACATAACAGCGCTACAAAAACAAAGCGTCTGCGCAACCGCCCCTCAGCTTCAGCCCGCCGGAAAGCCGCGAGCATGTGGGCCCGGGCGGCGCCCGGGGCCGCAATCGTGGGCGGCGCCGCCTGCGGCTGCGCCCTGCCTGCGGCCTGGCCAGGCTGGGCCGAGCGCCCGCCGGGCCGGCCAGGGCGGCGGGCACCTGGGCCCGCAGCGGGTGCGACAAACTGGCCAGGGCGCCTTCGATCACCACCGCGAAGCTCGCGTCGACCAGCCCGCCGGACGACAGCGCGGCGGCTGGCGCCCAGTGGAGCTCGGCCAGCGGCTTCGACTCCGTCGCATGCCACTTCATGCTGCTGCTGTGGCCCCATCTGCCCCTCCGGCGCCCGTTCTTGCACTCGCTGAAGTCGAAGTTCCAGGGGGGGTCCTCCGTCGCCGTCGCCAGCTTCAGCGCCTCCCGGACCAGGTGCAGCCATCTCGCGTTGTCGATGACCACCGACTCTTCGAACACACCGACCTTGCTTGGGACCCGAGTCACCACGTCGTGCGGCAGGGGCGCCCACTTGTCGTGGCCAGAGCCCGCCGCCGCTGCCGGCTGGACCAGGCTGCGGCCACGCAGCCGAAGGGCCCCGCCGTGCTACCGGCGGCGCGGGGAGCTGACGACCAGGCGGATCACCATCTGCGCCGGGCCCCAACTGGCCAGCGACCCGGCAGGCGAGAGGCAGGCGCTCCTCGGCAGCGGCAGCCGCGTGTTGGCCGGGGCCGGGCGAGCCCAGGCGATGGCGCCTCGCTTGGCTCGCGGCAGCACCCACGGCACCGCCGTGTGCTGGGGCGGCATCACGTGGCTGAGGGCCGCCAGGAGCTGCGATCCCGCGCTGCCATTCTCGCCCATGAGGTACATCTGGTCGAGGTACTCCACCACTGGCTTCGTGCTCCAATCCGGGCGGTGGCCGGAGCGGAAGGTCGCGAACGCCTCGAGGGCCATCAGCAGGCAAGTGACCACGGCCCGCAGCCACAGCACCCGCCGGGCCATCAGGCGAGCCCTCTTGGCCGTAAGAGGGCGCCCCGGAGAACCATCCGGCCTCGCCCCTGGAGACCGAGTCAGCGGGGTTCAACTCCGATGGGGGCCCACCGGACGGCGAATCTCGAGCCAGTAGCAAGCGACAGAGCACATACACGATAGAGACATTGGCGAAGATGGACCGACTTGGCGCGCCCTTTGCCCGCAGCCAACACCAGAGGAAGGTTGCCCGAGAAAATCAGGATACGGCGACTGTGGGCCTTACAACTCCTCAGGGCGCTCTTGAAGCCCATGACCAAGGCCTCCCCCTCGAGAAACCAGATGTTGGGCCCTAGCTCGACATGTGTGGCCGACGCACAGGCTCCAGCAACCCTGACGTAAGAATTGCCTGGGTACCTCCGAGAACTCCCCCGCGCAGGCATCTGGGCCCTCCTCATTAGTGGCCCACGCCGGCCCCCCCCCCCGCTCCAAGATCATCGCAGTCTCCTCGTCCACCCTCAACTCCATCAAGGCCCGCTGCCGGGCCCGAGCTCCACCCTCGATCTCGAAACGGAACCTCTCCATCTGGCGGCCTATCTCCTGGACCTGGCCTGGCTCAGCTTGCGACGAAGGACCCCCGACCCAAACGGCGACGCGTCTGTGCAGGCGACGCGCGGATGCCAATCAGTTTGAAGATACACGCAGAGCAAGGGTAGCAGGTTGCGAACGCACTCGAGCTCGTGCCTAACCGACGCCTACAGACGACACGGCAATGGACCCGCAGCTTGTATGAACGCGTACGTGGCACGCATCAAAGACAGGCACTCCCCACGCACCAAGCACGTCCAAGCTATGTGCCCAGCGATGACGCGAAGGAGGCGCCCACTCACCCTCGATCTACTCAACGGCTCATCCAAGGCGCGCCGCAGCCTCCACAGGTTGCGCCCCAGGAACTCCTGGTCCCGGCTGGCCCCCTCGAGCTCGCGGACGACTAGGCCCAGGCCCCTCAGCTGCTTGACGACGACGTTCAGACGACTGGTCGCGGCCCCCGGATCAGACGCCAAGGTGAGGAAGTTGTCCACGTAGGCGGCAGACGCGGTCTCCCCAGGAAGCCTCATAACAACTCCAGGACGGCCGTCTAAAACCTGCTCGTCCCTGCTGAAGCCTCCTTTGTCCACGGCCCCCTCCCAAGATTTTCTGACATGGGTGGAGAGCCCATGAGAAGCCCATCGGCAATACCCGCGCGCATGGTAACATCACTGCGCCGACCCCCTCAGGGACGCCAGGTATGTTGAAATTCTGCAAGCACGAGGAATATATAACAGGATACGCTAAACATGTGCTCCATCTCTTTAGGAAAGCGCATATGGTAAAAAGGCCACATCCAGATCTCCGCCCGCAACAAAAAAAAAACCCTCGGCTTCCAGAGAGGCGAATGCAGACGGGGGCGGGAGACGGGTCGAAGGGGGATCCACAAACCTACAATTGGCGATCCTAGTGTCGAGAATGATGTGCTGTGATCCACTCTCCTTCTTCACCAAAAAATGAATAAATCAAGCCGAGAATGCCCTGGAGCCCAATGGCGCGCTCCCAAGACAACATCCCTCGAGAAGACATCTCAGCAAAAAAACTCTGCATACCGCCACGGCGGGCGAATTCTTGTGGACGGGATCCACGCGGGGCCCCCGCGGACAAACTTCTTTTTTGCAAGGCCCGTGCCTCCGACTCCGGGCGAAGCATTTGGTTCTGCCAACCTTCCAGCTGTCTCAAAACAGGCGCAGAAGCAAGAGACTCAAGAGAGACTGGATCTACCTGCTCAGATGGCCACGAGACGAGGTCTCTCTGGAAGGAAGCCACCGCTCCACCATCTGACGAGTACAGAGCGCAGCCGTCAAGGAGCGCCGATAGGGCTCCCTTGGAAGAAGAGTGCTGCTCAGCCGGGTCCACTGGAGGAGCCCCGACCGCGCGGCAAGTTGCGACGATATGTTCTACGGCGGCACGCTGTCCGGCATTCGAAAATTCACTACCGTGAGAGGTGCAGCCGTAGGTCTTGTTGAGAGTGGTGATGGCATCGCGGACGAGCTGCTCGCCAAGCTCGCCGCGTAGAACCCGGCGACGCACCGCGCGAGACACAGCGTTGGGGGCAGGAAGGGCGACGAGAGCGCCAGGAACAGGTAGAGGGAAGATGTCGCGGTCTGCCATCAGGCAGCTCACGGCGACGCTTGCTGCCGCCGACCTTCAAGAGGCCGCGTGGACCCTGCATCCCTTTGAGACTATCACGTGCGAGGGCTGGGTCCCGAGCCCCCGCCGGGCGTGAGCTCACCCCTCGCATTTCTTGCCCTCCCTGCCCTTCCTGTCCTTGTCCCTGTCGCCACTGCCAGACGCCCCTGAGGCCAGCTGCCGCTCCTCGCGAGCCTTCGGCAACTCCTTCTGCACTGCCACCTCGCGAGCCAGCTCAGCCGACGCGCACTGCTGCAGGGCGGGCGCCGCGCAGACGTCCCCTCGCACCTCGGCCGCGCCCATCATCATATCACGGTTGATGTTCTCGGGCTCGGAGGAGGCACCTCGAGAGCGATGCCGGTCCTCTTGCACCTGGGGCGCCCTCGAGATGAGCTCCGCGCTCGCCAGGTCGCGCGCGAACAGCTGGTCGCACGAGATCATGGCCCCCAGCAACCTACTGCACAGCAAATGAACTTCGACCCCAGCGTCGTCTGGCTCCAACCCCATTTCAGTCCGCCAGCGCGAGTGGCGCGCGAGCGGAGTCCCACCCTGGCGCTGGATGCACTGCAGCACCCAGCGGGTTGTCCGAGGCCCGCGGACTGGGAAGTCGGCCCACGCATGCTCCGACAGAGCCTGCACGCCCGCGCGGAAGTCCAGGAAACGCTGTCCGCGGCCGTCGCGCGCGGCGGCGAGCGCGCGCAAGTCGGGCGCGTCGAGGGCGGCGGGCCCTGCGCCGACCACCGCTGGCGCTGCGGGCGTACCTGCAGGGGCCACCCCGTCGCCGGCAAGCGCAGCGCCCGCTTCAGGTGCCGCCGCGGGTGGCGCAGCGATGGGAGCTGCCAGTGCCCTCCCCCGCCGCGCCCGCGCCAGCCGCAGCTCCCGCTCCTGCTCCAGCGGCAGGTCCGCCGAGAGCTGCCACGAGGCCTGCAAGGCCGCCGCCTGCTGCTCCAGGGGCAGCTGCGATCAGCGGCACCGCCAGCGCCCCCTGCGGCGCTGCACCTCCAGGTGCGCCCGCGGCGCCCGTCAGCGCCACCTCGCCAGGTGCCGCCCCAGCCGCCGGGTCAGCCAGAGGGTGCTGTCCAGCGGCCACGCCCAGGATGTTGCCGGCAGCCAGATCTAGCAGCAGCGGCCCCGCCGGCGGCGGCGGGCACCCCGATGCGACGGCCCGCCCCGCCGCGCTCGAAGCCGGGCGTTAGGATGTAGCTGAGCGCCCCTCGCTCACTGATGGTGGGCCTCTCGTGCCAGAGCAGCGGCCCCGGCACCGTGCACCTCGCGCAGTAGAAAGAGACCGCCATCAACAATCTGCGCCACAGCCGACGGCCTGGCACCTGCTCCGCTCCCGACTGGCCCGGGCCTGCTCCGCCGCGAGCTTCGCGAAGTCCGGCCCCTCGGGCGCCTCGAGCCGCGGCGGTGAGCTCGGAGGTGGCTCCGCCCGCCACCTGGGCAGACACGCCTGCGCTCCTCCGCTCACCAGCCGCAGCGCTGCCGCCAACGCCTCCAGCAGCAGGTAGGCCAGCGCCCCGAGGCCCAGGCGCAGCTGGAAAGCCAGGCTCGTCTCGCCCGCCTCGCAGGCCGGGCAAGGGGTACACGGATCGGGGCAGGTGCTCGATGGACCCCTGGCCTCCAGTGCCGCGGCCAGGCACTCCCCCAAGGGCGCGCGGGTGGCCTCCCACGCGCCCTCGTCAGAGGGAGCCCAGCGGGACGGCCTCGGCAGCGGCTCCGCCCGCGGCGGCGCCACAGGCGCGGCGGGCGGCGACCGCCACCAGCGCGCAGCCGATATGGCAGATGAGATGCAGGCCGAGTCCGCGAGGGCGCATAAAATCTGCCACGCGCTCTCTTCAAGACTTGAGCGTGGCAAATGCGGCGGGATCCAGGATGGGCTATGCCTAAACATGTTAAGTGTGACATATCGATAGCTCCCTCTCTCTATATATATAAATATGCAAGATAGATTGACGGCAACTGCGATTACAACCTCTGTCCGGCAAACCGCTCCGCCGGGTTCGGCACAGTAGCCATGGGAAACGGTGAGGCGCATGCTGTGCTCATGGACAATGTGCAGACCCTCGTCCACCAATCGTGTGGAATCGCCTCTGCCTTCACCAACCGTGTTCTCTCTGACCCTGCGGCTGCCGTGGCCCTGCGCATCCTTTCAGACTGCCTGATGCTCTTAGCTGGATCCAGCCTGCTCAGCCCAGGAGTGGTCCTGGTCAAAATCATGGCCCATTTGGATCTCGCCAGGGGCTTCGAGATCCCTGAAGAGCTCCAGCGTTACCTCGGCGTGGTCCCCCTCAAATGGCCCGCCCTTTCGCCCAAGGCGAAAAAAAGTCACGGGCAACCAGTCAGCACGATCCCCCCCCATGTTGACCGCTTCTGCTCCCCGTGCCTGGGGGTTCTGGGGTGCCCGCCTGCGCCCCGCCGCCTTGTCCGCCTCCGCCCCATCATCTGGCGACCGTGGCTGGGCGGCCAGAGGCGACTCCCCGCTGGGAGTTTATAGAAGGCCAGTGGCAATGCATAATATGCTTGGACAGGGCTAAAACATCGACCCACAAAGGTGCCCGCGCCATTGCATGTGCCCAGGGTTGCCCAGGAACCCAAGTGCAAGTGCCGCGACAACTCTATCATCTTCGGCAATTGCCATTGTGCAGGCTAGCTCTTCCGCAGCTAACCGCCCGCGCCCGCGCTTCAAATGCATCCGCGTCGCAGGCGCCACATCGAGAGGCATAGTGGCCCTTTATCGTCGCATCGCGGGGTGCGTCGCGACACTGGCGGATCGAGCTCATTGTAACTGACCGCTGGCCCTCATCCTCCAGTTCCTCTGGGAAAATACACGTTCGGAATCTCCTCTGGCTGCGAGCAACACTTGAAGCAAACCGTTGCATTGAAAGTCCTCGCGCCGTGGAACAAACGTTGCGCTGCCCGGCGCGCCTGCCCGCCCAATCGGAACGGCATAAGATAACACCTCCTTCGGTGGACAAGCCGAATGTGGAGACGGGCGGCAAGTGAACGGCGAACGGCGACAAGGCCGTGCAGCATTACAACTGCAATGACATAAGTTATCAGACAAAGGTGGCGAATAATGATGCGTGGACGAAAGCCAAGGCTCCACCCTAGCCCGTGATGGTGCGAAACGGAAGCGCAACTGATGCAAATTGGGGGCGGCTACGATATGAGCGTAGACGAAAAGAAAAGGTGCCCTAACACGCGATGTGCTTTATGAAATTGTCGCAAGGCACCGAGCCATGCATAATTGTTAAGTTATCCTGGAGTGCGCATAGACGAGGACCCGGACTTCAACTGACCCCGAGCTGAAGTCCCCGCCCAGGCGGCGCGCGAAGATAACCCAAAGGTTGGTGAAACTAGCACTACGTAGCGGGCGTCAGCTCGCGCCGCCCGCTAACACTGCGTCGACTGGTATTTCGCATGTGCATGAGCGCGTCGCCCCTGCTGACTCACCTGCGTTCCTACAACAATCGCTTTGCTGTATCCGCGTCGTACATCCCCCTGTAACCCAAGCCGGTAAACTTCGACGTGGCTGACTTTTCCTCGTCCCGCGCCTGCTCGCAATAACAGTGGCCGCGCTAGCATCGCCCATCAGCGCGGCGCCGCAATCAACGTCGAAATACCTGAGAACTGCTTGTAGTCCAGACGCTACTGATCCAAACTTTAAAATTCCATAGTGCTCTGATTCCCCAAAAAATGAAGCCGCTGCGCCCTGAGTCGAGCCCCGCGACTTCATCGCATTAAATCCCCGCATAACTGCCCCTGCGCTCGTTTATTTGCGCGTTCCCTTACATGCGGCATTTCAGCATCAGTCCACGGCGTGCGCTCCTGAGGGCGTTCCCGGTGAAAGTCCCGATGCCCGCGCCTGCCGTGGTTCTTGACATGCTTGCCCAGCTTCGCGAGGCGTTCCCATGCCGCTCGGGCCGGATCTGACATAGAAAGGACAAGTTCCTTGACTGAAGACAGCGTGTCTGAACGGCCCCGTGCAAAGTAATTGGCTCGAGCCACTGCAACTTGGCATTTCTCAACTTCGCGTCTCGGCGGGGGGCGCTCGCCCTCGTCGCCGCGCGGCTGCTTCCGCGCAGGATCTCGCATCTCGCCCTGCGTTGCTCCAGGCCTGACTCTCTGACGCATCTCCCAGCGCGCCTCCGATCTGCTTCGCGCCGCAACCCGCCCCGCCATTCCGCACTTCGGTCCAAGATCCGGATGGGCTTCAAATCTTTAGGCCCTGGCCCAAGTCCGCCTCGAATGCCAACTTCAAATGCCACCGGCCCTTCGGGCGCAAATGGTCTATAATGATTTCTCTTCTGGCCCCTTCTTCCCGGTCGGACCAGGGTTCGCCCCTTTTCCCCGCCCCCCCCCCCTGGGCCCGGGGTGGGGCGCGGCCCCGGGCGGCGCCGGGAGAGCCTCGAAGATGCCGACGCGACCTCCAAAATGGCCAAAGAAAGCCCAAGGCAGCTCCAGATGGCTCCCAAGATGCTCCAAGAGGCCCCGAGACCGCTCCCACGCGGCCCCGAGGGGCCGCGGAGCCCCCCAGGAAGCAGCCAAAGGGCCAGAATCCTTCGAACACCTGCGGAACATCAATGCATTTTGCCTTGTCGCCTCGTTGCTTCCGACGGCCATCCGATGCCTCGCGACGCAACAAAAGGGCCAGCGGAGACCCCGGGGGGGGCCCGAGAGAGCCCCGAGGCGGCCCCGAGAGCGCTGCAATAGCGCCCGAAGAGGGGCCCTAGAAGCGATGTTTGGGGCCTCCGATGGGGGGGGGGCGCGCTTGGAGACCCCGCTCTTTTTGATAGATATCCTCCGGGAGGGGCCCAGGGGCGCCCCCGAGGGCCCCGCGCGCCCTCAGAAACCACCGCGAGACGCTCAGGGCCCAAGGAGGCGCCGAAAAGGCCTCCGCGAAGCTCCCGGGGCTCCAGCTGCGAGGCCCCGAGAGACGCGCGGAGGCGCCCCGGGCGTTCCAAGAGGCCCCCCGGGCCGCCAAGAGGCCCCCAAGACGCTCCAAAAGACCTCCACTGGGAAGCCCTTCCTCTGCGTGCTGCGCACTTCTCTGATCGAGGCAAGTCCTCCGGGCGTCGCTTCCGGATGCGCTGGCGGGGTTGCGCGGGGCGTATGCAATCCCACCAGCCCTTTGGGCGTGAGTGGTTTAGAGAGCTCTCTCTGTCCTCAACCCCCCAACCCCCCTTCTTCCCCTTCGGGGATGGGTTTGCCCCTCCCCCTACCCCCTCCCCCTGGACCTGGAGAGGGCGGGCCGAGCGTTGTCAGACCGGTCTTTTTCGACTCCTGGGAGGGCTAAAAAACGACGCCCCTCGCGAGGATTCTGCCCCCGACGGGGGGGCGCACATGAAACCCTCTCCTCTTCTGTGAAGCCCAAATCATTGATTTTCCGACGGTTTCGGCCCCATTTTGGCCTTCTGAGGGGGCCGCGCTCCTCTTCCTTGTTCTCAAAATCATTGATTTTACGAAGGTTTTGGGCTCCTTTTGTCCTTCTCAGGGGGCAGTGCTCATTTGCGCTTCGGCGGAGGTCGCAAGAGGCCCCCAAGAGGCTCCAAGATGCCCCCAGGACGCTCCCAAGAGGCCTCCCAAGAGGCCCCCAAGAGGCCCCCAAGAGGCCCCCAGAGGCTCCCAACAGGTTCCCAAGAGGCCCCCAAGAGGCCCAAGAGCTCCCAAGAACTTTCCAAGAGGCCCCCAAGAGGCCCCCAAGAAGCTCCCAGGAGGCCCCAAGAGGCCCCCAAGAGGCCCCTCGAGGAGCCCGAACGACTCACACCAAGACGAGGGGCCCGAACGACTCACACCACGAAGAGCCCGAACGACTCACACCACAAGGAGGGACCCGAACGACTCATACCAGGACGAGGCGCCCGACCCATTCACACCACGAGGAGCCCGAACGACTCGCACCACGACGCGGGCCTCGAACGACTCACACCACGAGGAGGCCCAAGAGCTCCAAAGAGGCCCCCAAGAGGCCCCCAAGAGGCCCCAAGAGGCCCCCAAGAGGCCCCACGAGGAGCCCGAACGACTCACACCAGGACGAGGGGCCCGAACGACTCACACCACGAAGAGCCCGAAAGACTCGCACCACAAGGAGGAGCCTTAACGACTCATACCAGGACGAGGCGCCCGACCCATTCACACCACGAGGAGCCCGAACGACTCACACCACGACGCGGGCCTCCAACGACTCACACCAGGACGAGGCGCCCGACCCATTCACACCACGAGGAGCCCGAACGACTCACACCACGACGCGGGCCTCGAACGACTCACACCACGAGGAGCCCGAACGAGTCACACCAGGAGGAGGGGCAGCGCTCATACAAGCCCCCCAAGAGGGCCCCCAGAGGTCCAACATATGGCCCCAAGAGGTCCCCAGATGGCCCACAAGGGGTCCCCAGGAGGCACCACGACGCCTCCATGAGGCCCCAAATATACCCCCAAGAGGTCCCCAAGAGGCCCCCAAGAGGCCCCAAGACGCCCCCAAGAGGCCCCCACGAGGAGCCCGAACGACTCACACCAGGACGAGGGGCCCGAACGACTCACGCCACGAAGAGCCCGAAC